AGAGAAAGGGGTAGTAGAAGATTTTTGACACTTTATACCTTTATTCTGACCCTAACTGTGACCATTTTCAATAATAATTTTGAAGAGGATAATTTTAAAAAATGATACATGAAATTTCGGATCGTTGTTGAGCTTTACAGCTTTGGATTTGGATAACATTTCTTGGCTGGCAGTGGCAGGGGCGCCGATTCCAGGGAAGATAAAATAAAGATGGCGGCTGTATCCGGGACGGCATCAAGAAAGTAGTGTGAAAAGTACTGAGGCTTTGTTCAGTCTTTGTAAGAGTTTTACGGCACTTGCAACGCAGAAATAATGTCATATTAGTGCGGAAGATTAGAAGTGTAGCAAGAGAGTAACAAGCATCAAACAAGAAGGAGGAGATGTAAGGACGATATAATATACCTGTTTGATAGGAAATAATTTTAAGAAGCAAACCACACTAGAGCACCCACCAATCACCCGCAGAGGCTATTAACAAATGTTTTATAGCTCTTCTCTTTTAAAAGGAACACCTGGGTTCTATTTTGGTCATTTGTGAATCATCTGTTGATAATTTTATTTATGTCGAACCATGATCGCCGAGGTCTACTACAGATCAGGCATTTGGTCATGTACTTGGTGTTTCCGATGAAACTGAAATAGTTTGGTATACATGATATGTTTGCAAGATTCAGTTCGTCTTATCTGAGACACATTGGGGTAGAGATAGTGTAATGAATCTTTATGAATGTTTTAAAGGTAAACAATCAAAGGTCTTGTTGATTGTTAATCATGTTAATTATGTGGGTGCATTCCCCTTACGATTGTCCAGAGGTCTAGCTTCCGTTTTCCTGCCTCGTGAGTTGAGTGAGTGACCCGTCTGTGTCCCTGTCCAGTTGTCAAGTCTGTATCACATCTGAATCCATCCTTACTAATAAACATGTTTAGTACAGAAATACAGTCACACAAACATGCACACACACACACACACACACACACACACACACACACACACACACACGCACACGCACGCGCACGCGAGTACCTACATAATATATCACCTATACCTATACACATCCAGACAAACACGTACATGTAATACTGATAGTAGTAGACCAACAGTAAACCCTATCTATAAATTATTTTTTTAATGTCTGAAATCAAATGAACCATCGTTGCACTTTTAACTGTCTGTACAACTCGACAATTCACCAATACATTTCTTCACAACGTTCTGGCCATTTGCCGTTCAAAACAAACTCGTTGCTACGGTAAACAAAGTAAACATCATATCAACTGCTTACACCTAGGTTCCGTTTGTAAAATAAAAACTGATTAACCGATCCTAAACCCCCCCCCCCCCCAAAAAAAAAACCCCCCCAAAAAAAAAAAGCTACATAAAACTAGAATAATAGCCGCTCCCTGATAACTAGAAATGAACCATTAATTCATGATTCGGTAATTTCACATTTATCAGGTGTATCTCCCTCCTTAATCAGTACTTATCTTCTCAAAGAACCGATCACGTACCATTCACCTATACATCAACGCATTTCTTCACGATGTTTTGACCATGTGTTCACAACATTTAGTACAGAAAGAGTTCATAAAAATATGTAACAAACTTTACGCAAACGTTACCTGCTCCCACAAAGACTTGATAGAAATGATGATAGCATGCATGCACACAGCTAGAGCTTCCTTTCTTTTTTGAATATTTATCTTGCAATAAAACGCGAATAAACTTTCTCCCGCACTGTGGTCTAACCAACCCCCACCCACCCAC